TATATATATATATATGTTTAATATTGATTATAAATAATTTTGTATATTCTTTTGAGTTATTATATTTATTGGATATTGTTCTTACTCCTTTCTTTTCTTTGTTTTTAAAATTAAATGTAGTATAAAATAGATGGATCTACTTGGAATTCCAGATCATTTTGCAGTTGTTATAGCTGTTGTCTTCTTTGGAAGGAATTGGATGTGGAGGCTATTTGATGAATCTATTATAATTTTATTTGTTATTGTAAATTTATTCCCACTATCAATGTAAATATTGTAATAGAAGTGAAAGAAAGAAATATTGTATAAAATAATACATTATTGTAAATATTTTAGAACGATATATCATGTATTAAATTCACAAAATATTCTTTTTCTTTATCTTTATCTTTATCTTCAAAAAAAAAATATTGTTAATGATATAATTGCGAAATATTATATAAGAAAATATATAATTATTGTTATAGGGCGTTACATTTAAATCTTGTATCGATGGGTTCAAATACTGCAAGCCCATTATTCAAGTTGATGACACATTCTTATATGGAAAACACAAAGGAACTCTCCTCGTGGTCATGGCTTAAGACGATAACAATAAAATCTTTCTAATTGTCTTTTCCATGTTGAGGGTGAAACAACAAATACATGATTTTTCTTTCTACATTACCTAAAAAGACATGTTTGCCCTTAAGATGACCTTTGCTTAATTTTCGACAGGCACGAGTCTATAAAAAATGCCTACACTAGACAAGACAGTGGTTGGACACTAGAGAATTCAGTGCATGTGTTTTGTATTCGTCATATTGCCCAAAACTTCATGAGGCATTTCAAGAATGCAGAAAGAAAAAAAAATCATTAACATGGGTATGTAATTCTTTTTTATTTCAAACTTATCATTAATTATTTTTATTTGTTTGACCATATTTTCACAATACTAAATTGTTCATTTTTTGCTTATCTAATTTCACAGCTTATGGGATGATTGAGTCAAGATTCAATTACTACTACATCACACTAAGGAGCGAAACAGAAACCGAATGACTCAACATTATAAAGAACAATGAGCTCTTGCATGGGACGGTGGCCGACGATGGGGATACATACTACCAACTTGACAGAGGCAATAAATTCCATTCTTAGAAAAATAAGAAATTTGCCAATTTCCACAATTATCATGTTGACTTATAAGAGATGTAATTCCTTATTCATCCAAAGAGGGAAGGAAGTTGATGCTAAACTCAAGGTTGACGAAGTTTATACTAAAATAATCAATAGGGCCATGAGAGATGCAGAGTCGAAGGTTAATAGTCATCATGTCTTTGAATTTGATCGTTGTAGTACACATTTTCTGGTGCAAGAGACCATTAACCTAAGGAAAAGACGACATACCAAAAATTTCACGATTAGACTACATGACAAGTGGTGTGACTACAAGAAATTCCAGAAGCTACACATGCCATGCTCCCATGTTGTTGTTGCATGTAAGCATGTTCACCACAATTACAAATCTTACATAGATCAGGTATACACATTAAAGTATGTTTCAAATGTGTATAACGAATTATTTGGTAAATTGTCCAACTAATCTTATTGGTCGGAATGTGAAGAACCGCAAATCATATCAAATTTAAAAAATATTATAAATAAAAAAAGGTTGTCCAAAGTCATCATCCCGAATTCGTACTGAAATAGATATGGTTGAACCAAGACAACTAAAAAAATGTTCTCTATGTCAAAATGTAGGTCACTCCAAGAAGAAATATTCTTACCATCAACAACCTTAAATTTCAGTTTATTTTGTGTAACTTTCACAAATGTAATGTTATGTAATTTTAAATTATTTAAAATTTTAATTTAATTATGTATGTTTCACAAATATTATCAAATTTTCACTATAATTTTATTTATATTTAATTATAAATGCAAAAAATATAAATTACATAAAATTTAAAAATTACAAATATAAATATAATATTAATTTCTAAAATTAAAAATAAATTATAATTAAAATATTAAATATCTATATTTATTGAAAAAA